GTGTGGAGGACAGCGAGAGAAGACATCCATGTGCACCCCAGTGGATGCTCTATAGATACAAACACTTTTGGGGAAAAAAAAAATGTTCTCTGAAGGAAGACCAAGGACTGGAATTCGTAAGATTGAAGAGGCTTAAAAGCAACTTATTAATCTAAAACTGTATGCTTTGTGGTGATTGGGTTTTATTTATTTACATCTACAAAACAAGTATAGGGTTTTAAGCGAGATGTGTCTTAATCCATTTTCTGTTGCTATAACAGCATACCTGAGACTGACTAACTGATGAAATAAAGAAGTTTTTTTTAGCTCATAGTTCTAGGGGAGAAAAGTCCAAAAGCATGGTGCCAGCATCTGCTCACTTCTTCCTCATGCTGCATCATAACACAGTGAAGAAGCCAAAGGGGAGCAGAAGGAGAAAATACTAGTCCTGGCCTTGCTTGAGAACCAGGTACTCTCACAGAACTAATCCAGTCCCAGGAGAACGACATCCTTCTTATAACCCAATCACCCCTTAAAGACTCCAAAGTTCTCAACACTGTAACAGTGCTGAACAAACTTCAACTAGAGTTTTGAAGCAGAAAAACCATACCCAAACTACAGGCCAAGAAGATAAGAGGAAGACACGAGCAAGCTAGGACTCAAACTGTGAGCCGCAAGGTTCGAATATTTGTCCAAAATGGGCCATGACTTGGGCTCTGAGCTTTCAAGAAACCAAATTTTCAAGGGTAACCAATCATAGTGTCCAGAAGATATAAATGAATCAGTTCAAAGAAGGAACTGTGACTGCTATTGAAACACAAGACCTCTCTCCCCATCTATGCTCTTATTTTCTATGGCAGATTAGAGAGCAGATATTACAGCTACCAAAATGAGATTTGTGGGATTGAATTCAGGGCTAAGCAAAAGCCCTATCACTTAACCACATTCCCGGCCCTAGACTAAGTTTGTAAAGCCTTGCTTGGTATTAATGGCATAAGGCCTAAGCACAGTTCAATTCAAAAGCAATTTCATGAAGAATACTGATTAAATAACTTTCACCTCCACTAAAAACTAAAAGAGTAACACCACTATATATATGTGCATATCTATATCTAAATAAACAGATACTATATCGTAAGATATTAAATTAAGAACATGAATGAACACTCAGCCAGAAACCAACAGTATAGGAGAAGAGTGAAATGAACTTTTTGAAAGTCCTACCTATAATAATAGGTAAAAGGTAAAAATCTACTCACCAAAAGCATTAGGACAGTTTGGTACATCCCTGGATCCTGTGCTCTGGTTTGTAAACTACTATTCAATAAGCTAGTCTCTATACTCATTTTTATGAATGGAAAAATCATAGGGTGAAGATTTTTTTTAAAGGTACCCCAAAGTGGCATTTAAAGCAATAATCCAGCTTGAACTATAGGTCTATTCAGTTCCATTCAGTTCCACAACTATTTATTGCATGCCTAAGCCTACATGGTAGATGCCTGAGCAGCTTCAGAAATGAATGACAATAGACCCTGACCTCAAGAATGTGAGGTCTGGTCTAATAGAATATATAAAAGAGATGCAGAATTGGAAAGAAAAGAAAACCCTGCACTATCAAAAGCATCACCAGAGTTCCTTAAAGTGGCTCAAAGAAAGGGCACTAGACAACAGTCCTTTTGTGGAGGGCGTCACTTGAGATAAGCCTGTAAGAAAAAGAAGATGGATGGAGGGATGGATGGACAGAGATGGAATCAGAGAAGGAAGAACAAAAGCAATGGTAAGAAGGTGGGAAGGAACACATGGTACACACTTCAACATTTGGTGAGAATGCTAAAGCATATGCAGGGGGATAGGGTAGGGAAGTGGTTGTGGCCATATGGTCATGGCCTTGAAGTTGGGGGGGGGGGCAGTTTAACAGTTTAACACTTTAGATCTCATGAGTATAGTTGTTAAATCAATTCACTCCTCTTAAAAACCATACTGGTTTTGGAACAGGAAGTGTTTGAAACATATCAATATCTTCTATTGCTAAGTGTTATTCAAATACATTCTCTCTGATAAAAGTCTAACTCTGAAGATCAAACTTAACAAATGGGCAAATTACTGATTTTAATAATTCCAAACCTCCATGAAGATGTCCATGAATGAAAACCTTATCTCTGATGTAAATGTTCTAGTCACATTTATGCTTCAATTCAAAGTTACCCAAACTTAGGCTGCAATTTGTATTATTTTCTAAAGGAAAAAAGTCCTATATTTCATATTTTAATTATTTTTTGTATGCAGTAACAAGTCCTTCAATAGGTAAAATAATTAACCTTTCATTTGTCCAATAGTCTGAATTATGTTAATTTCATAGGAATTATTCACTTGAATTAACCCTTCCTGTATTATTTGCTCCAGGTATATCTGCAAACAGAAACTTTAAACTAGTTATATGTCTAACAGGGACACTTTCATAGAAAACTCTACAAATTCATAATATTTCAAACTAAATTGTTTGATTTTTAAGGAAAGCAAAAAAAAATAATAGAAAATGTTCAACCTGAAAAAGAGTAGCTAAAATAGGTATTCAAGATGTGTTAAACATAATCTATTTGCCTCTAGAACAAGGAAACATTAGAGGAAGAATAGAAGAAATTAGCAGTTTCTCTGCCCTCTGGTGGCAATAAAATCTACTGCAACATTTCCAAAAGTAATGCATAATAAAATGTCCCTGTTATGAAATCAGATGTTTTTCCTGTGCCAAAATGTCTGTAATAAAGATCCTGATCACTACATGCCAAATTTCAAGACTGTTGGAGTTTTTCCCTGGGGTTGAACTTTTAGATAGGTTATTTTATGATGGGAACTATAATTTTCCTACTGTTTCACCTTGCTATATTTTATATATTCGGTAGGCTAACCATTTAATTCCAAGATTATTTCATAAAACTCCATGTCGACTGATGACCAGGAAAGAAACTATTTCAGATTATAATAAAGTCTCAAAACATTACCAAGAAATTTAAAACTACTTTTTTACTCAATCCCAAAAACCTATGGGTTTCTAAGAGCAGATTTCCTTCAGAATTATTGATTTAATTTAAAATACTGGTACAATCATGTTGCCAACTTAGGTATTTTATATACACAAGCGCTAAAGCTTTTAAATGCTTGCCCAGTTTTAGAGTAGAGTGAATTTCATCCTCAATTTAAGAACTTGGAATAGCAAATTGTGTGTGTGTGTGTGTGTGTGTGTGTGTTCATTCTATTCTCAAAATTATTAATTTCCGAAAGTTCAGGAAAATATAAATATTTGCTGAACTTTCTTTTATTCTTGTACTGTAAATGCATAATTTACTCCTGGTGCCAAAAAAGTTTTTAAATAAACAATTTGTGATGCATTTTGGCACGCACACCTCTCTTAACCTCCTTTGTAAAATTTCTTTCTTGAGCCACTTATTTATTCCATGAATATGCCAATGAAAATTACTGTTGCTCCTTTGTTACAAACATGTCCTTTCCTGGAGAGGGAAAAGTATTATTATTTTTTTCAACCAATGAAATGTACCAGAGAAATAAACAGAAGGTAGGGTCTACTGATATAAATCATTCATAGTCAAGAAGGACTCATGCCCATTAGTATAGAACAAATCAACAGCCAGGAAATTTTGCATTTTTTCTCAGATCTATAGGTGTGGTCAACACATTTCCCAAACCCCTGAAAGTCCCCTGTCATACACATCCCTCCAATCAAAAATAAGAGCACAGAGAAAGTATTTGTGCTTTCTCTAGAAAAATCCATATCAGGGACAGACCTAGTGTTTGGACTCTTTTCCAGGACTTCCTTCAGGATTTATTCTCACCTGGAATCCCCAGGTAGTCTCCCTAGCCTTCCATCTATGACTCATGTTTGAGGACTGGAGACACAGACTTACTTTCTGAGGAATCATTTACCATTCTCGCTACCTCAAAATGAAGCACATACACACACACAGCAAAATAGAATGAAACTGATTATCCTAACCAGAAAGTTCCATTTCTTTTTTTATTTTCCTTCCAAGTGTTTCCGCCCACCCATCATTTCTTCTAGAAGTCTACACAAGTTTACAAATGTCTGTCAAGGTCTCTGTGCCTATTTGTTTCTTCACTTTCTTCTCTGAAGAGCAGAAGTGGGGAGCAGGCTACTGTTCACAGTGGGCAGGGTTCAGGGAAGCAGCCCTGGCTTCCAGCAGTGTCCTGGCCCTGGGGGCGCGGTCAGGCACCTGGCAGGAACCATCACCAGAGGAGTAGACACTGGCACTGGGAGGATGCTAAGGCCTGGGCTCCTGGCTGGGGCAATGTCTGGGCAGTCAGAGTAACCCCTTGGCTCCCCAGTCACCCTCCAACATGTTCAGGCCTGTTTGCAAAGCAGACAGGCAGAGGACAATGGAGCCAGGAGTTGATCTCCAGAAACTTGCCCACCCCACCTTTCCCGGCTCTCCCCACCTCTGAGACTGGCAGCACCAACCCCACCCCACTTCCTGCGCCTGCGCAGCCCCAGATGGCCAGAGGTAGGTAGGTAGGTAGGTAGTGGGTACTGCCTGGGAGAGCAACAAGGAGCTACATAAAATTTTATCCTGCGAATGGGAGACCTGCAATCTCTGGCTGTCACAACATCCCCCAACCACCTCCACCACGCTCTCATTTACTATAACTGAGCAACAGGGAAGAAGAAGAGAGTAGACAGCCCCGGGTGCCAGTTCCTGGTAGAGGAATCCATCAGAGGTTATCCCGGGGTTCTTTCTGGGTTGCTTGTGGGAGAGAGTATCACCCCCTATCGCCCAGGTGAAGTAAGCAGAAAGCCTCTAGAAAGCCCACAGCCCCTATCCTTCTTCTCTCGTCGACCTTCTCCCCATTTGGGGAGCTCAAGTTTACCAGAAGACCAACTGCAATAACTTTCCCAAGGGCGGAGAGATGAGGTGGGAGTGGGCTGAGAATGGGGGGTGCCGGAAAGGTCTTAAGCTTGCACAAAATCAACAAGCGAAAGTGCATCTTACCATTCATTTGATTGCCAGCTTCCCCTTCAGCGAACTGGAATCGGTCGGTTAAAAAGTGGCAAAGTAACACAACTCCTGCAGCGGCCAGCTCGGCCCGCCGGAACCTCGCCATGCCGTTGCCAAGACCTCTCTCCCCCGCCCCGCCAGTCCTTCCCCAGTGCCCTGGGCTCCTGGGCTCCCCGTGGGGATGGGGCGACGCTGCGGAGCGCTGTGGATAGGTCTCCGTAGGATTTGGAGGCCTTTGTAATTTCGATGGGACTTCACAGTCAGGAACCGAAAATAACCAGGGAATGCAAAAGGGAGCGCAGCCCTCTCCGGACCTCTGGGTCTCTGTTGCAACTTGCCACCCTCGCAGCTCTCACCGGACACAGAACAACTGCGGGTTGGAAACGCTATGGGCAGCCAGACCTCTCAAACTCTCTGTTCCACACAGGCAGCGCCACCCGGGTGCCGGCAGACGGTGACTTCCTAGCCCCTGCGATGCGCTCCACTGGATTCAAAACAGATCTAATTCCACAGCCAACGCGGGTGCCTCCTCCAAATCCAAGAGAACTGTCGGCTCCGAAGGAACTTTCCCGTCTTGGGATGGCCCCGGTGGGAGGTTTAGGTTTGTGGGAAGGGGGTTACTGTGGGTTGGCGAAACCCCTCCGACAAGTTTTTCTTCTTTTCTTCGCCCAAAGCTGGGCGCGCGTCCTTCCTGGCAGCCGGAGGGATGGGCAGCCCCAAAGAGCTGAGCCCTGGGAAGGTTCGGGCTGCTGCAGCCTGAGATCTGAAGCCAGGAGTGGGGGGGGGGGGGGGGATGTGTGTTTTTAAAAAGAGGAAGAAGAAAGAAAATGGGGTGGGGGGGGAAGTCAGGCTGAAACCTCAGGAGAGGTTTCCTCCAGGCTGAGGAGGAGGTGGCCCCAAATCCCCGCCGCCCGGGAGTTTGGTGGCGGAGGAGGAGGAGGCGCCGCCACCACCGCGCTCCTGCTCCACACTTCAGGGAGGGAAGGCAGCTCGCAATTTGCCAGATCTGCGGCTGCACCCTCCTCCCTCCGCCCTCCGCCCTCCCCCTCGCTCCTCCAGGCTTCTCCCACCTTCCTCCCCAAACCAGCAGCCAGCACCGACCTGTCCAATGGCTGCACTTTCCTCGGGACTGGCAGAGTCGTCCCCGACAGATTAAGCTGGGGAAGCAAAGCCAGGGGGAGTGAGAGGGCAACTCCAGCCTCGCGCGCCCCGGGCCGCCGGCTCCCGGGAGCACCGGGAGAGGAGCTGAACCGGGGGAGCCAGGAGGGGAGCAGCGGGCTACATCTCCACGCTGCCGAGGCGCCATCCGGCACCCGGCTCGCGCCCTCGGCAGCCAGTCCAGCAGCGCCCGCACCCACCTGGCTCCCGGGCCTCCTTGGAACAGAAGGGCGGGGGTTGAAGGGTGGATCAACCGACCAGGGCCCCACTAGGCACCCGCCTCTGGCGGGGGTCTTCCTGGGCGCTAAAGGGTTAATTTCAGCTCTCCCATCCGGGAGGGTTTGTTGGGCCATGGTTGGGGTGTGAAGAAAGCAAACCGGAGCCAGTTGGGTTACTGACCCAGAGAGGCCCCTTCGGACCCCAGACCCGCGCAGAGGGTGGTGGAAGATAGCCCGCGGTAGCGTGGTCCTGCTGCTTCCACCAAGGCTTTGTAAAGTGTCAGCGGGAGCGAAAGCGAGAGTTTAAAGGAACAGGAGGCCCATTGAATTTCCTACAGGGGCTTTAACAGGCTTTCCTTCGCTAGTTTGTTTTTGTTATTTCAGCTTCAGGATCTGCTTCAATGTTAACCCATTCAGGCCTCCCCATTCAGTTTACATTTTATTTGCATAAGGTTACCCTCATTTGAAAGAGGTAAGTTCAAAGGAAAGAAGTAAAACACTACTGATTAAAAGTACGTGTTCTAGAGCCAGACTATCAGGACGAAATTTCACTTCCTCCATGAGAAACAATCTTTTAGCATTCTTTCCCACAAGGGGGCAAATGTGGAGAAATTTGTAGTAATACTCTTACAGGGTCAGAGTAGTGAATTAGATGAGTTGATTCTGTGTGCTTCAGATTTTTCAAAGATTTCCTAGCAATAGCTTTTTCCTGAAGAGAAAGAACTAAATTATACATTTGCTAGTGTTCTATATTCAAAAGATCCATATTCTTGCCCATGACATTCAATATTCTGAAGAGTTTATGGATGCTAACAATAGATACCCTAACTTGTCACATAACTCCCTGGAGCTGAGTCCAAATCATCAATCTACTCTGAATTTGATGCCATAAAAGGATGCCTTTCTCATTGGAAGTGGACATATAATATGTTTTCCCTAATATGATACTCAATTTATTCTTTATTTCAGAGCAATTAGTGTATATATTTAAACACATAAACGTGCCATGCCTAAACCCTTTATCATGCCAAGAACTTGCTCTCTCCTGAGCTTTCTCCAGACTAATTGATTCCCCCCACCCCTACCATATTTAAGAAACCTGGTTCTTTTATTCCTGCTCCACCAGGTGTATTTACTTCTAGGTAATGTTACATAGGAATTTGGGTACTTAGTAAAGTTACCTGTTTAAGATTAAGTTTTCCAACCACAGCTTGATTGTATTTTAATTGATGTTGATTTTTTTTTTCTTTCATTCTCCTTGCAGTCATTACTTCCTGAATCCATGTGGAAAACTTCCCCCTAAACCCTTCCATACAACTCGAGTTTCCATGATAGGCAACACTATGGGGAACCTAATAAGACCCCATTTTTAACCTGGGATATTTCCCCCTTCCTTCCCAGCAAGGGGAGGAAAAATGTGTGTTCTTTTTGAGACAAAACCCATTCTCACCTCTTCCTACTCTTATTTTCTTTCTTTTCCCTTTCATTATTTATATGTGCAAATTAGCAGTGTTTATTTCCTTATTATGTTTTTGGCAGAGATGCCTTGCCCTCCTGGTTGATGCCATATATATTTTGTAAGTGTAAATCTGTTGCCAAAAGTTGAAATGGAGCCAAATGATAATTCAGAGATAATCTGAACAGTCTTGTTTTTTTTTTTTTTTTCTCACTGGTACTATTTAATTCCATTGTTTTACTTCTGTCTTAATCTGATTCTGAAAAGTTGCACACATAGAAAAAAACTTAAGTATGGGAGAAGATTAAAGTGAGGAAAAGTCAGTCATGCTTGATGATATAGTGCTCAGAACTAAGATTATCATTTTAATAGATTTAGGTTATAAAATTTACTTTAAATGTCAACCAACAATTATTTGTAAAAATGCATTTTGTCTTCACATGTATCAAGGCACAAGAAAGAAAATATAGATAGGAAGATATATCCTTTTGGAAAGAGTTAATTACTCATATAATTCTGGCTAATTTAAAGTAGTATACTTTGTGGCCTAAATTGTTTGAGAGCCTGCCATATACATTTCACCACATTTAAAGTGTCTATTTGCTTGCACAGTGACAAATTCAGAGGTCTTTGTGGAAGAAATTACATCATCTTTCATCAGATATAAGAGAGGTGTTGTAAGGAGTGCAGTTTGTTTATATTTACTGTAGAGACAGGAAAAGAATAGCTGGTTTATGTACTCACTGCCTTAATTTGAGCTAATCTCACAAGGAACAAATGCCTTAGGAACTGCAAATGTGTCATACTTGTTCTTTGTCCAAGGCAAAGATCTGGGATTCACAGGACATTCTCTCCTTTAAGATCAGACATCAGGATCATTCTTAACAACATAGAACTTTGAGCAGACATTGGATTTGAACTATTATCTCTGCATATTTCAAACATGTTTACAATCCCTTATCTTTACCAACCCTCAGAGGTATTTTCACACATTCAAATGCAATTACATATGTATTAAAGGCTCTCTCAATTAATCATCTCATCTTACGTCCAACTCAATGTTATATTTCCTAGGAACTGTCCTAAATTAAAACTTGGTTGACAGGATGCTTAAGAAAACAGTATGCTCAGTTGGTTTAAAAAAAAACAAAACAAAAAAAAAACTGAGATACAACTTAAATATAACCTGTGCAGTACTCTGCATTTATTATAATTAAATAAATAATTTTTTAAAACTATTTCAGGAAATAATTCTTACCCATTTTTCCAGGACTTTTAAAACTTGACACAATTGTGATCAGATGAAGGGAAATTACTATTAGAGAACTGCTTTGATTCAGTTCTAATATTATGACCTTGCTCTAGGTCTGTGACATTTTCTCTCCTTCCTCATTTGATAGGGCTAATTTTTTGACTTCCACTATGCAGTTACAACATTCATTTGTTCATCTTGCTGACCTGCTCTCAAAATCAACTGGGAATTTATTGTACTGTTCCAGATAGATATTTCAGATTTTCCTTTATAGATTTAGGTAGACAATTTTAAGAACATGGTAATTTTTTTAATCAGATGAACATTAAAAAATTTACCTACCAGCTAATAGCACACTCTTTTTTACAGGAACATTTAATATGCAAGAATACTTATTGGCTTTTAGCCTCATACAATGCTACATTTATTTTTAGACTAAATTAACAACAATATAAAATGACATATGTATATAATCTTCTTTCTGAAACTAAGAAGCTAACATGATTTTTGACTAGTAAATAGCAAAGTCCAAAAATGAGCAACTCAACATAGTACAAAAGAAAATTAATGAAACAGTGTACTCTTAAAAAGGGTAAGGGTATTACCTTTTAGTTCTTTTTAAGTAGCACCCATGCATAGTAGAAACATAGGTCTTGTTCCAAAATTATTGGACTCAAAGCTAGTTAAACTCTTGCATTTGGAGGGGAAAAAAAAAGAAATGAAAATGGGCAACTGTTTGACATGCACTTAGTGAATTAAAAAATGAAGTAAATGTGTTGAAGAATATGCTGTACAATGCGTAATAATGAAGCATTTAGGAAATTGCCCAAATGCTTATTGTGGACTTAGTTATCCAGATTTTTCTGAATTAATTTTAAGAAACCACAGGAAATTCGTTTCTCATGTCAGCTTCTGCAGAGCCTCTGGTGGAGGCTGTTACTCAGGTATTGGTCACTAGGTTTTTCTAAGTGACTGCAAGAGTGCTCTGAGTTACCCAGGGTCAACCACTGCAGCCCTCTCGCTTGTGCTACATCTCCTTTC